GAGGGGGTGGATGGGTGGCTAAGGGAGGGGGTGGGGGCCAAGGGGGGAGAAATAAACCAAGCCTTGTATGCACATATGAATAATAAAAGTAAAATGAAAAAAAAAAAAAAAAGATTTATGCATTTCAATGTATGCAAGTAAAATAAGTATAAAAAAATCTAAAGGGGCTGGGAGTAAGGAGGTATAAATAAAAACAGCAAAACTGTAAGAACTGAAGCTGGATAATGGCACATAGGGTTCATTATATTACTGTTTACTCGGTATCTATTTGAAAATTTTTAAAATAAAAATGTTACCTAATTATTAGTTTAATATTTCCAATTAGGCCACTTTAACTCATGGTAGACTAGTACAGGAAACACAAGTGATATTCAATGTCCTAATAGTCTTCAACAAAGTCTGAGTCCATAAGAAAGCAATGTCTAAGAAACATTATAAATGATTTATGTATAAAGACCTATGTATTTCTGGATTCTAAGATATATTTTATGTAGATTGAAGACAGCTCAGTATTTGACTTAAAATCATTTTCTCTTTCCTATAACTCACAATAATTGTTTTATTTAACCACACCAAGCATTAACCAGTCCACTAAATGAAAAACTAAATTCTCATACATTGACAAGTACCATCAATAGGGACCAGCTTGTTCCAGTCATTGCTTATGTCCCTAAGTTCATTAAATTATGTGGTAGCAATTAAGAACAACTGCCTCCTCTAAGAAGATATATAGGTGTGTATAATATATATATCTTTCCTCTGCTCCTTTCTACTTGTCACATAAGGGGTGGAGAAGATGTATAATACAACAGATTTCTAAGCACTCTTCTCTCACTGAAGCAAAAAATAATCTCCAGGCTGTAGTACCTCTTCATTTGCCAAACCCCATCAGAGAAAAGCTTCCTAAGGTCAGCCATGAGTGGCACTGGCAATTTAACATTTTGGGGAAGAAAAGCACTCATCCAGTTGGGAAAGTAGTTTAAACTAAAGAAAATTTATTCTCTCCCTTGGGACAAGTCCACAATCTAGCTGCAACCACTTATAAGGCTCTACTATCTTTTCTATATTAATGGAGTTCTAGGAAACGAATAGTGTGGTATCATCTGTACTTTCCCCACACCCACAACCATCTTTTCTCTATACCCAGGCCACAATCTTTTAGTTCAGAGTTCTGAACAATTAACTTTTTGGGTGTTCTCCCGCCTAGGATCCATGTATCTACCACAGTTTCTTCTGTGATATGTATGAAACACATTTTCTTTCTGCTACTTTGTCTCAGAGGGCCTGCTCTTTCCTGCCATTAATCTTATTAAAAATAGCTGTCCCTCCTATTATCCTAGCTCGCTTTTTAAAAGAAACAGGCAATGCTGATTTAGTTGATAAGCCTGCCTTATCATACTCATTTGATCTTAAACTGCCCTGATTAAATGTCCACTACCTTCCATCCAATAACAAGTTCTTTTATATTAGTAAAATTTATGGACATCTACCATAATACACAAAACTTGTAATTTCTATCTGTAATCACACTGTATCTTCTGTTATTATACAGTGTGACATGTCTTTATAAGGCAGTCTTCAATCTCGATAAAGGTCTACTACAGCCTCTTTCCAATGACTTATATCTAAAAACCAAATTAATTTTCTTTCCTTTTAGACAGAATTACCAATATCAATAACTGGCTATTATCTGGTCCCAGATATCAGGTTGCTTTAGTAATTCATACAATAAAGTGAGTCTTTATTGTACATCAGACAAACAAGATATAAAATACATATATGACTAAGAAAAAGAGAGGTCACAATTATTAATATCAGAACATAAGGAAAGGCCATAACTATAGATCCCAGGAACTTTGAAAGGAATACTATGAACAATTCTGTTGGCAAATTTGATAACCTCAATGAATCAAACCAGTTTCTTGAAGACACAATATGCCAAAACTGACACAAAAACAAGCTTGAATAGACTTATATCCATCAAAGAGACAGAATTAATAATTAATATGCTTTCAAAACAGAAGGAACCAGGTCCAGATGAGTTCACTGATGAATTCTACCAAACTTAAGGAAGAAATAATATCAGTTCTCTACCTCTTCCAGAGGATAAGAACAGAGAGACTACTTCTTAACTTAAGTCTATGAGGCCAGTATTATCTAACACCCAAAATCAGACAGACGTTATAAGAAAACCATAGGCCAATACCTCTCATAAACACAGATGAAAAAACAAAAACCTCAACAAAATATTAGGAAATAAAACCAACAGTGTAAAAAAAATGAATTATACAATATAACCAAGGAGGTTTTATCCCAGGTACACAGTGCTGGTTTAACATCCAAAAGTTAATAGTGTAATCCATCATATAAACAAACTAAAGATGGAAAATTGCATAGTCATATCAGTAACTGCAAAAAAGCATTTGAGAAAAATTCAATGGTCATTTGTAATAAAAACTCTCAGTAAACTAGGAATAGAGGAGAACTTCCTCAACTTGATAAAGGCTATCTACAAAAACCTACAGTTAGCATCGTATTTAATGGTAAGAAACTAGAAACTTTCCCTCAGAAACAAAGCAAGAATGTTCCTTCTCATCAATGCTTGTCAACATGGTGGTGGAACTCCTGGCTAATGCAATAAGGACAAAGAAAGGAAAGGAAGAAAGGTAGAAAGAGGAAGGAAGAAAGAGAGGGAAGAAAAGAGAGAAGAGGGAGGGAAAGAAGAAGAAAAACGCATACTGGCCAGAAAGAAAGACAGCTGTCTTTGTTTTAGAAAACATGATTGTCCATGCAGAAAATTCAGATGAATCAATAATAACAACAAAAACTCCTGGAACTAATGATTATAGCAAAGTTACAGGACAATATACAAAAGTTAATCAATTTTCTCCATATAAGCAATGAACAAGTGGAATTTGAAATTAAAAACAGTATCATATACATTAGCATTCCAAAATGAAACAGGTATAAATCTAACAAAATGAGATCTATATGAGGCAAACTGAAACTATGATGAAATAAATCAAAGAAAAACTAAAGAAATGGAGAGATATTCCATGTGCCTAGATAACATTCAATACTACAAGATGTCTCTTCTTCCCAACTTGATCTGCAGATTCAATGAAATCCCAATCAAGATCCTACCAAGTTTTTTTTTTTTTTCGGGGGGGGTGGCGATATTCTAAAGTTTATATTGAAAGGCAAAAGACAGAATAACCACACTATAATGAAGGGGAACAAAGTTGGAGAATGACACTACCTAACTTCAATACGTCCTATAGAGCTACAGTAATTAAGGCAGTGTGGTATTGACAAGAGAATAAACAGAGATAGATTAATAACATAGGAGCAAATCTACATATACTTGGGTTTGGTGATGACTTCTTAGATATAGCACCAAGACATATCTAAGAAAAACAATTCAGAAATGGGGCTTCACTAAAATTAAACATTTCTGCTCTGCAAAAGACACTATCAACAGGATAAAAAAACAAACTACAGGCTGGAAGAAAAAACTGGCAAAAGATACATCTGTTTTGGATAACAATCGTTATCCAAAATATACAAAGAGCTCAAACTCAACAACAAAAATTTTAAAATGAGCCAAACACCTCAACAGATACATCACTAAAGAAGATATATATGAATCGCAAACAAGTATACAAAAAGATGTTCAAAACTGTGTGTCAGGGAAATGCTAAATAAAATGGAGTGTCACCACATATTTATTAGCATGGTCAAAATCTAGAACACCACTATCATCAAATCCTGGCAAGGATGTGGAGCAGCAGTAACTCATTCTTTACTGGTGGGAATGCAAAAATGGTGCAGCCACTTTGGAAGAGTTTGGCAGTTTCTTACCAAACTAAACAAACTTTTACTATGCAATCCAGCAACTGTGCTCCTTAACACTTACCCACAGAGTTAAAAACTTAAATTCATTCAAAAATCAGCACAAGATATTAACAGTGGCTTTATTCAAAATTGTGAAAACTTGGAAGTAGCCAAAATGTTCTTCAGTAGGTGAATGGATTAAAAAATGAATTCTTCAGCACTAAAAAGAAATGAGCTACCAAGCCATGAAGAGACATGGAGGAAATTTAAATCACTAAGTAAAAGATAATTTGAAAAGCCTACATACTTCACTATTCCAACTATATAACACTGTGGAAAAGGGAAAACTATGGAGACAGTAAAAAAAAGCAGTGGTTGCCAAGGGTAGGAGCCGGGGTACTTATAGGTAGAGCACAGAGGATTTCTAAGGCCATGAAAATACTCTGTATGTTATTATAATGCAAATACATATCCTCATACATTGTCCAAACTCACAGAATATTTACCAAGTGTGAACCCTAAAGTAATTATGGACTTTGAGTAAAATGATGTGCCAAGGCAGGTTCATCAGTCATACACAATGTACTGCTCTGGTGGTTGATGTTAACAACAGGAAGGCTAAGCATGTGTTGGGAGAAGAGGGTAATGAGAAACCTCTATGTCCTTCTCTCAATTTTGCTGTGAACATAAAACTGCTCTAAAAAATAGTCTTAAAAAATAATACAGCATATTTGTAGAAAACACTCTCACATATGGTTTCTAACTATAGAAATGTTCTTAGTCTCTCATTATGCATACACATAAACAAATAACTGTAACACAATCACTAACCCTGCCCGATTTGGCTGCAGGCCACCCCTCCCGTTTTTTCTTTTACTAAAGTGGGTATGGTGTATTTAAATTGTTTTTTCCTCCAATTCTCCAAAGATGGATTTCCAGATTCAGAACTTTTTGCCTGCTATACATTGTAGTCACTAAGAGGCATAAATCAGTGGGATTTAAACTCCATTTCTGATCTAGCTTTGTGTTTTAGGATACACAATTTAGAGATGATAAGGACAATTATTCTTAGGTTACTAAGTTTATTCGTGATTTACTGTGTTTCCTGCACCTTGGGGTCTCCATAAAGGGCATTATAGAAATAGAACACTACTTTGAATATGGTGGCCAAACTAGTATTAAAAAAAAAAAAAAGCATGAGTACCATGAGAATTAATCCATGGTCTAATCTGTCTGAAATCACAAACTTCTCTCTGACATCATACAGGATAGCAGTATCTTTAGACCAATTAATCAGACTACAGGCATGGCTCAAGTATGCAAACACTGCCTACTTTGCAAGTATGTGCTTTGCATGTGCAAAGCCCTGAGTTGGAACCCCTGTTCTATCAAAAAACAAAAACAATCAGATCAGGTTGTTTGGTGCTGTAAGGAGCACCATTCTAATTGCTTCTGTTCTTTTTAGCTAATTTCTACCAAATTACTGATTAAATAATAATTTACTATGTAGCTATTTAAATAATAAGAACATGCAGACCAAAGAAAAGCAGGTATCACTTTGTATTTATTACATTTAACTTTTTCATATTACAGAATTTGACTCCAAAATAAGGTAATAAATGCATATTAAATTGTTAAGTTGCTTGCATTTTTATCTCCTAAAATTCTGACACAGCAACATTAAAGACACATGAAAAGGTTCAGTGCACTTTCAGTGGCTCACAATCATGAGACAAAGACAATGTTTATCTATAAAAAATGAGACAAGTAGCTCAATAGTTTAAAAAATTACTTGCATGAAGTAAAATAAAGGAAACATAAAATACTGCATTTTTACCACAATCTTTAGGTAGATGATGGAGAAATTTTTTAATAACGCTCTTCTGCAGAGCATATGCTGTACTTGGTAGGCTTGGCACATGAGCACTCAGTAACTGCTCAGCATCCTGCAGCTTCTTGAGCTGGACCCTAACTGGGGTCCACTTTCAAACCCATCTCCTCGGGAACTATTCTGATGGGAGCCTGACCCTTCTTCCTCCACCTGCCTGGCACAAAATGTACACAGCCGAGCAACCCTCCCAAATCTGTTAACCCAGATGTTTTGCCCCTTCACTTACAAAAGTATAGCTATGAAGAGAATGAGTCTATTTTCATACATCATTCTCCCTACTTTATGATTATACCCCTTATAATGCAAAAAAATGATGATGCCTGATTTAGAACTTAAAATAGTCAATGAGCTTAGGTAGACTATATACTGCTCTGAATTTCTTTAATATCTATTGTAAACATTCTACTGAACATTTAGTAGAAAACCCATTATCTTATTTTTTTTTTAGTGGGTTCAGAAAGAAAAGTGACACCATAGTCCCTTGGCAGACCCCAAATCACACTCCTAGCCCTAAAACTACCATTATACATCTACCACTAGACGGCTTTCTATGCCAAGCATGTCCTGTAACAACTGCTGTTGCCACTCATGATCACACCTTATACCAAGGCAGCAGAGAAACTGTGACCTTCTCCCAACAGCAGGCCATGTTCTTCCGAGGCATCTTACCCCCACAGCTCAACCTGTGACTCAGCCTCAGTGATCATGCAAGCATAGGGAAGAACACAAAAACAGGAGTGCCTCCTATGCCAAGAGCTCATTGCTTTGCAAAGTGAGAGCATTTCCTTTCTCTCTGTCAGAACAACAGGTTTAGGTGTATGAGTAGGAGAGGCTGCCACCAGGCAGAACGAAGAGGAGACTGATGAGGGAAGCCGCTGGTGTCCCCACACCCCCAGTCAGCACTTTCCCTCCATCATGACAATGCCGGGAACATGAAAATGAATCTGATCACCTGTCAAAAGGAGGGATCTATTATGTAGGAAATTCCAGTCACTTCTTGCTCTTTTAGCAAGGGTTTACCGCATGTTTTACAAGAGTAAAATTAGCAAGATGTTACATTTTTAAAATAAAGATTAAGGAAAAAAATACTGCTTTAGCTACAAATGACTAATGAAAGCCTTAGCATCTTTATCAACTATGATTGATGAATAATCCAAAACCAAAACACCTGACCTCGATGAGAAACAGTACCAATTAACTAGACTATTAACACAATGACTTAAAATTGTATTACCCGAATAGTCTCCATGGTGACATGTCAGAAAAAGTAAAATAATAAGTATTTTCCACAGTACCATAAGGTTGTATAAAATACTACTTGAGTTAATGTCTCAAGATTTTGGTCTAACTTTTTTTTTTGGCATAACCTCTTCTTTTACTGAAAATAATTCTGACCAGCCATGTAGGCACAACTCTAACATGAATATGATATATTTTACTGAAGAATTTGTATGGCATACGTATATGGTCAATGCTTCAACTACATCCATTGAGTACAAATGAAATCAAAGGCCAGGAAACACAGTTTTGCTATTTATATCATAGTCACAAATTTTAATTTGCCAAAAAGTCCTTAAATGGTAACAAATATTTATCATACCAAAAACTTCTTTATATTGGTTTGTTTTCATACTGTGCTCTTATGGGTTCTGTTTCTATATGATAACATTTTGTAAATGGCTCTGAGTTTTTAAAATAAGAATATAATGACTCGCTTTAAATTTTAAAATAAATGCAAATGGAAATCAGACAAATTCTATAGCCAAATTATCTGGAATTCTGTGTAGCAAGTTATCCACAGTAAAAAAAAAATATATCACAGACCAACTCTCCCAAATATCCAGCATACTCATGGATCCCCAGTGTGTGCTATGCCAACTTGGTTCAACACTGACCTAGGCAAAACATAACTGAAAGTATTAATTTACCTACCAACAAGCACACTGCATTCCAAAGTCAAATTTGAATTAGGTTTGGGATTATCAATTTAATGTCTTCTCTCCATTAATGCAGAGAACTGAGTCTTGGCTTTATTGAAATTTAGCTAGTGCTAGAGTAAACTTACTATAAAATTATTTATAACAAAATAAATATTTTCAGTCCCTCTACACTAAGTGATATATAAATCATTAGCATTTTATAACATTAGCTTAGGTCACTTTTTTGAGACCTAAACATACTGTACAATCCTGAGTAAAAGGTTAGGCATACAGTTTCCTGGGGATCTTTCTTGATCAGGAATCAAAAAGAAAACACAGAAACCATAATGTGTAATAATCCCCATTTTACATTAGAAGTACCATGAGTTCATACAAGTACCCAAAAATCCCCATTTTATATTAGAAGTACCATGAGTTCATACAAGTACCAAATAATCCCCATTTTACATTAGAAGTACCATGAGCATAGAAGTATGGTACATAGAAGTACCATGAGTTCTTTTTACTTTGGTAAGTAAGTTTACTTATGTAAACCATGTATCTTGATAGAGTAAAAGTAGACAGAGCTTCTGCTAGGCTCCCTCCATCACCTTTTGACACTGATATGATAAATAGTATGGAAGAGTAGAGCAGGAGGATCTGAACCACAGGGTTAGTGTATCAGCATGAACTCGGCAATGCAATAAGCAAGGGATGGATGGGAGCCGCTGACAGGCCAAAAGCCCTTCATTGCCTACAGTAAAACAAAAAGGAGAGAATATTTAATGCCAAAGAACTTCAGCACACATTTCTCCAAGAATATATGCAAATGGGTGGTAAGCACAGGAAAAGATGTTTAACATCATTAACCAATAGGGAAATACAAATCAAACTTCCAATTAGATATTACTTCACAGCCATTAGGATGGCTATTATTAAAAAAAAAACAAAGTAAGTGTTGATGAAGATGTGGAGAAACTAGAACCTTGTGTATTGCTTATGGGAATGTAAAATGGTATAACTGCTATGAAAAAGATATGGTAATTTCTCAAAAAAAGTCAAATTTGGAATTAACATATGATCCAGTAATTCCACTTCAGGTATATAACAAAAAGAACTACAAGTAGGGACATGAGTAAATATTTCTATACCCATGTTCATAGAATATTATTCATATCAGCCAAAAAATAGAAGTAATCCAAGTGCCCACTGACAGACAAACAATCAAAATGTGGTAATTCATACAGTGGAATAGTCAGACTTAAGGAGGAAAGGAATTCTGATACACGGTACAACATGGATCAATCATGAAGACATCATACTAAGTGAAAAGTGCCACATACCAAAGGATTTCAAATATTGTATGATTCCACTTATGTAAACTACCAAGTAGTCAAATTCGTGAACAAAAAAATAAGAATGGCGGTTGGCAGGGGCTGAGGGGGAAGGGGAAATGGAGAATTAGTGTTTGATGGGTACAGAGTTTCAGACAGGAAGGTAAGAAAGGTTCTAAAGACAGACCACGGTGATGGTTGCACAACAATGTCTGTGTACTTAATGTCACTGATATGCATTTAAAAATGGTTAATGTGATCAATTTTATTTTTCAATAAAAATTCCTTAATATAGTCTGAAAAACACACTTATCTGAAAAATACTCATAATAAGAAATATAGCTCTTAAGAAATCTGACACTTAAAAGATTTGATTTGTGTTCTGGTTGTGACAAAGTTCCTATAAACACAGAACTGCCTTTTCATAAGTCTTACGAACCTATAACGTCAATAACATGAAGTCTCAGTTTCTGCTGCAGCGGTTTTAGGGCAGAAGGCAAAGAAGCTTGAGATTCGGAGGTTTTTATATTTTGCTTCACATCATTTGCAAAAGATAACCAGAGTTTTCCAAAGTCTTCAGTTGAGATTTTTAATGGTCTGAAAATAATTTTTAAAATTAGATTTATGTCCATAAGAATAAAATGATGTAAACAAATGTATTTTAAATGACTCATGGAGATAAAATATCACTGTAAACCTGGGTGACACAAATTTATGTTTTTAAACCAAATATGGTTAGATTGCTCAGTGTCATCCTCCAACCTGATGAAAATACTAAAAGCAGAAGATACTGAATTGCAAATGTCATTTCTATAAATCACTCAGTTTTCTCTCTTTCAAGGTATTAGTCATTCCAATAAGACTGTACCAAGTAATTTCATGAATCATTTAAATATAATTTAAAATCTTTCTATCATGTGTATTTGGATTTGGGAATAAGGTATTCTATCAACATTCTGTCAAACAGAATGAATCCAAACACCCAACACCTTAAATAAATTAAACCAAGAGAAAGAATTTTAACAAACATATTATTTAAATAGCTATGAAGCTGGGCATGGTGGTACACACCTGTAATCTCACCTCTCAGGAGGCTGAGGCAGGAGAATCACCAGTTTGAGGCCAGCCTGAGGTACAGCATAGTAATTTCTAGGCCAGCCTGGGCTATCTAGTGAGGACTTGTCTCACAAAAAAAAAAAAAAGAAAAATGAGCCTAAAGATCAATAGTTAGCATGGGAAATATCTGGAGGGTGAGATTATAGGCACCTTTCATATTCTATTTATATTTTTCTATAGCATTTGAATTTTATGATGAGTATGCACTGATTCTATAATCAAGAAAAATACATTTTTAAAGACACAAAGAATTTTATTAATATACACAAACAACTATTTGTGTTATACATCTTATTCTTCTTTAGGTTACTAATTCTTACCATGGGATGCACACTCACAGTCACAGAACATCAGACTTTTTAAGGTTGGATTTTATCTTCTATAGCATGGACAAAAACACTCTGACAGATTGATAGACATGTTTTTACTAAAAGACTTTACAGAGTGGACAAAAATTACAGTTGTGTAACATATGTAGATGTGTGGAGGTTAAAAAAAATTGTACAAAATATTCATTTTGCATTCTTGGTTCAGGTAGCCTTCATTTTAAAACTGTTCAAATACAATATGATACTCTTTTAAAACTAAATGAGAGGAGAAAAATAAAGAAATTGTTTTCAATTATTTTGGTAACACTGCATAGTGCCTAATATAAAGGCTAAAAATACTGTATGTTTTAAAAGTTTAATAACTTATTTATTGTATAGTTAATAAAGTTCAATAATTTTCTTACAGATCTCAAATGCTTAATAAGCAGATTTTATGAAAAAATAAATCAAATGAATAAAATGCAAATAAGAGCAACTTTAAAAGCTTAAAGTCATGTAAAATCTTTGAAGTTATTTCAATTTAAATATTACTTTCTTTCAGAAATTTCTTACAGATCATCAACAACCTCCACCTAAATCAGATCTCAAAATATACTGTCTCAGCATACCACTTATTTCCTCTTCATAGCACATTCATAACTACATGTATGTTTATGTGACTGTTTAACACCTCTTCCCTAGACTGGAAGCTCTCCAAGGTAAACACTGAGTCTAATTTTAAATTGCTACAGTCCCTTACAACTAGCATAGTGGCTCTATCTAGGAAAAAGGCCTAGAAAGAATGAGTAACTTAAATTAACATCTCAGAAAATACTTACCTAATAAAATCTAATAACAATAAGTTCATGGAGAATCTCAACTGAACAGAATGCATATCCATCATCTGATAAGTTATAAAACCAGAAATAGTCCCTTCTGTAAAAGGTTTTTCCATCTGCACATTATATTGAAAGTTTGCAGTGCTTTCTGCATCCATTGTAGGCAGACAGCATCCAGGTTGCTCAATGATCTGTAAATAAAAATATTGAAGAAAGAATCGATACACTCTATTATATGAATACCAATTTTCTATTTAATCAAAGTAGTACAAAAGCATACAAATGTGAGATGTCAATAAGTTACATTATGAAGATAACCAACAAAAAATTCACCAGCACAGACCAGGTACAGTAGCTCACAACTGTACTGCCAATACTTAGGAGGCAGAGATAGGAGAAACGCAGTTCAAGGCCAGCCTGAACAAATAGTTAGCAAGATCCTATCTCAAAGAATAAGGCAGGAGGCACAGGTGGTGCTCATCTACAGTCCCAGCTACGCAGAAGGCATGGGTAGGAGGACTGTGGTCCAAGGCAACCCCTGGAAAAAGTAAAACCCTACCTGAAAAATAACTATACCAAAAATTGCGACTCAAGTGATAGAGCGCTTGCCAAGCATGCTCAAGGCTCTGTGTTCAATCCCCGCACTGCAGAAAATTCTAATATGGTACCAGATTTATTTTGCTTTCAGTTCAAGGGATTGGACCCAGGGCCTTTGCATGCTAGACAAGTGCTCTACCACTAAGCTATCCCTGCAACCCCTATCAACAACAACAATAATATGGTTGTCTTGCATTCTCACTTGGTACCCTTACTCAAGTTCTAATGGTAGAGTTCAGACAACTGGGTTTTGTCTTGATTTTTAAGTTCCCTGGGTGATTCCAATGGACATTTATAGTCAAGACCTTCTGCCCTAGTCAGTGGCCCAGACAATATCCCATTCGACACATTCTAGGTCATGGGAAAACCTGGGTCGGTTTTCTGGAAGATGGATATTTGGGTTAAATCTCATCAAAACTTCACCAAGGCCATCCATCCAATAATGCAAGTAAACATACTTTCAGAACTCACAGTCTCTTGGAGATAGGAAAGAAACAGAACTGATCTGAGTACTCAGTATAAAAATAATAAATCAGTGACAGAAGGAGACAGTATACATATTTATCCTTCAATATTCTTACTCCTTAATGTTTCATTCTGTTCTGCTAAATAATTTGAGACTTTAGTTTCAGTGGTTGTGATAAGAGTAAATGAGACATTTAAAGAGTGCAAGAAGAGAACACAAATACTTACGGAGAATAATAACAGAACAATACTCACTGTATGCCATTTCTGCTTGTACACATTCTACAGATGCTAACTCATTTAATCATGATGGCATCAGGTACACGCTATTAATGCCCTCATTTTAAAAAAAAAAAAGAAAACAGGCACAAAGCAGTTAACTGATCTGACCATGTAGCACAGCTAATAAGGCAGGGAAGCAAGATTAGAGCCAGGCAGGCAATGTGTGTCAAGAGCCGAGGTTCTTTACTGTGCTCTATCGAAACTCACTTTATGTCTACGGCCTTCTCAATACAATGGTCAATATGCTCCCTTCTTTGTTTCTATGAATAATTTGTCCCTACTCAAAATATCAAAAATCTGTCACATCTCTTACCTATTTTATTAAAGAAGTAAGAAGGCTGTAGAAGAAACTTACAGACTTTAAGAGCCAACAGCAGAGACACTAAGTAAGCACTGTCCATTTAAGGCAGAAATAATAAACCATTCATTGTCTTACCTTGAAGTTTTCTTCAGGAAAAATTTCTAAGTTAGCACTTTTCAACTCTGAACCACTCTTATTAGTGAGTGACCAGACCACCAATAAACAATCATCTTTCCAAATTTTGTAAGATGACAATGATATGATTTCATTATCACAAACCTCCAAAAGACTTGAATGCATATACTCAGTACTTCCTTCCAACAAAGAAGAAGCTAAAGTGATTTCCTTAGCATCTGAGGCTGTAATAGAGGAAGGAGGGTGAAAAATTTCCATGTTGTTATCAGCAAACAAAGAAGTTGCAGCAAGACTACAATTTGAGAGTTTTTCAACCAAGGGCAGTTCTGTGAGAGACTCAGAATCCAAAAGTTCTGAACTAGGAGAAAATATCTTTAGTTCCTTATCTCCTCTATCCTGCAAAGTGTTCAAATAATCATCATCTTCATAGGCCACATTTGACAAAGAACTGAGGGAAGACGATCTCATATTATGAGCACTGGCTGCTTCTTCATTTTTGGCTTCCTTGACTTTTGGTTTCCTTCTGAACTTGTGAGACATCATGTCTGCTTTTCCCAGCTGCAAAAATAAAACATAATAATATAAAAAGAAACTATTTTACTAGTCATGCATTTTAAACATTCTTCTCTCATTTCAAATGAGCAATCTGCAACCTTACTAAGGTTCTATCTATAAAGCATAGATTAACAATGATCAGAGATGAATAAAATGTTAAATCCTAAAATTCTGACAGCTATCTAACTTTGAACTATTAGCTAAATCTTATTTCTCATTAAAATGCATAAAATCAGAAAAATAAGGTAAAAAAAGAAGTCAGCCATGAACAATTCTAAAAACTTGTTCCATTTCAGTATACTAGATTACAGAAGTGGAGAAATGAAAAACAGCAAGAAACTTAGCCATATTTTGAGTTTCCAGAGTTTTCGTATAGAAGCCTAAGTTACTCTTGAGTATTAGGATAACTAAAAGTCTGTTTTAGTAATCTATAATAATTGTGATTTCATAGTCTATGAGTTAATAAGCAGGGAAGAAAATCTGATTTTACTTCAAGAATTAAATGGCACAGGCTTACTGAAACACTGAACAGGAAAGAATGCTACAACTGACTAGAGATGTTTGCCATATACTCAGGAGACAAGAAGGACAAATTTGCCACAGCTATCAAACCCTAAGGAATGGTCTATGAATCTATGTAAGAAGAGTCATGGTACTGGTGTTCCCTTGCCTCACAAGTTCTATCTAGAATCAGTTGAGCAGACTGGCACTATTCTAAGTACATATCTCCATCCTCCTGTGGGCTTTGAGAATGCATGGCACCCTTCACATGATTCCACTTAACTAGAATTCCAATTCCCTTTTCATGCCTTCTCCATTCTCCTCAAGTCTCAACATCTTACAACTCTCAACAGATGAGTGTGTCTCTTATCTCCCATTAAACAGAATATTCTACTAAAAAAAAAAAGGAAGCAAAAGAGGTGAGGAAGAAAGCAGACTATGGGGCTCAAATTAGACTATTTGTTACTGTCCCTCAGGTCACTATTGTGCTATTCTTTTTGTTTTGGTTTTTTTCCTCTCTCTCTCTCCATTCTAGATAGTTTCTGCTACTTTGTCTTCAAGTTCGATAACTTCTTCTACACTGTCAATGTGCTATTAATCAGAAGCTAAATATGTCAGAAGACACTGTAATGACATCTTTGTTAAAATATTAAAGAACATTCAGCATAGTATTGCATACCCAGACAAAATGTCTTTTTAAAAAACTGAAGGTTAGAATACAGTAAAGGTGAAAAAAGTAAATAAATAAACCTTGACCCTTACCGTGAACTATGTAAAAAATTAACAATCGATCAAACCTAAAAATAAAAGCAGTTAAAATGGGGGAAAAAAATCAATATACCTTATCTATGTAACTGAGAACCTTAAACATTAGAAAAATAGTAGAATAGGACCGCTGGAGAAAACCGGTCATTGAAAGCAGCATGACACAAGGAAGCACATCCCAAAGCTGGAGAAAACACGTGACTCAAGTTGCCTGGATATTCCCTTTAGGGTGGTGGCTCTGGAGCCAAGAGATGATGGTGAGTAAGAGTTGAGGAAGCCTTTCCCCACCATGTGAACCTGAGAACCAGGAGCATCTAGAGAGCCAGTTTTTAGTACAGACAGAGGACACAGATTCTTAGAGGAACATAACAATTACTTACCAAATTAATTGTATTTTCTGATCCAAGCCCAACGAATAACGATGATGCCAACAGCTGCTTGTCTTTCTCCTCTTTAGACTGGGTAAAGACTTGATCCTTTTTCCTTATAACTTGATCTAGATTGTCCATTATGGCACTTTCTGGAGGAATAGGTAGAGCTTCTGCTTCATCCCCAGTCTTGCTCTCCTTCCTAGGGAGATAGCCCTCTTTCCCCCACAGTTTCTTTATACCTTCCAGCTTCAAGCTATTTGTCCTGAGGAGATTGATGAGAAAATTGAGCCAACTTAAATAACTGCAAAGTCACTATCCTGAGGCATTTTTTTCAAAACACTTTATGGCCCATGGCCTTTAAGAAATAGCTTTCATATTGCATTTTATATACCAGAAGCAAACTTAAATCCTTATACTTTATTTTCATTACAGCCAACTTCCCTAACCCTCTCTCCAAAGAATTTAAGACGGCAGAACTCTAAACCTAGTTTAAAAATCTCAGATTTAATTCTCACTTAATTGCTTGAATAAGTTGTACAAAAATAGAACTATTGTAAATCAGTTCCTTTCCTCCATTGACTTTTAAAAGTACCTTATCTTTAATTCTCATGGGCTGAAGACCATAAATGACTCAAATTTCTTAACTATATAAAGTTTAACTTATAAAGTTTCAAGTTTCTTAACTTAAACCTAAATTCATAAAATAATAACTGATAAACATAACTTCATTAAATAAAAAGAATTCCATTGAAAGTAAATACACTCCTAGGTGTAAATTTATTTTTAATCCAAAAAGTTTTCTTAATGTTAATACTAACTACCATTTTCAACTATCATAAATGTACTCTTATAAAAATGAAATTAGCTAGGCATGGTGGTAGATGCCTGTAATCCCAGCATTTGGGAAGCAGAGGATCAAAAGTCTGAGGCCAGCTTAGGCTAGCTAGCAAGTTCTAAGCCAGTCTTCACTCTTGGGCTACACTGTAAGACTCAATGTAACTATAACCTGTCTCAAAATAACTAAAAAACTAAATAAGTAACGCCAAAAAATGAGGTTTGATCTAGAAACAAAAAAGATTTTAGGAAAAAACATGAGCCATAGGAGGGTTTTTGGTTGTTGTTTGGTTTTGGTTTTGGTGGGACTGGGGTTTAAACTTGATGCTTCGTGCTTACAAAGCAGGCACTCCACATCTTGAACCACACCTCTGGTCCATTTTGCTCTGGTTATTTTGGAGATTGGGTCTCATGAACTTAAGCTCAGGCTGGCCTCGAACCATGATCCTCCGGGATCTCAGCCTCCCAAGTAGCTAGTACCTAGTAACCAGTACCTAGTACCTAGTACCTAGTAACTGGCCTAAGGAGTTTTTTAAGAGCTGAGTTGAAGGAGAACTAAAGTACTAAGTAGGAGCAAAGTGACCAGCCCAAAAAGCCAAGGCAAACATCTATGCAAAAAAAGAAAAAAAAAATCCAGACCCAAATTTAGAATATGGACTCACCTAACGGTATTCTAAAAGTTAGAGCTGTGAATCTGGAGTGACAGGCAATCATGAGTGCTGGCTGGAACAGCCAAGGATAGTCTCTATTGTTCTTATTTAAACCTGTATGTCTGAGCCAAGTGAGGTGACACACAGCTGTAATCCCAGCTACTCCAGAGATAGAGACAGGAATTGTGAGTTCAAGGCCAGTCTGGGCAAAGTTAGCAAGAGACTTTAATCTCGAAAAATTTAAAATGGGCTGGAGACACAGCTGGTAAAAGCACTTGCCAAACATGTGCAAAAGCACTAGGTTCAATCCCCAGTATCCCAAAACAACCCAAACAAAACAACAAACAAATAAAACCAAAATTATATTAATTGGTTTGCCTGTGGTATTCATCTCACAATATAAATGTGTATCAAAACATCACATCCTATACCACAAACCTTGCTTAAAACACCAAAACTAAATGTCTGGGAAAGAAATTAAGAGTGTTACTAGAACAGGAAAAAAAAAAAAAAAGGGTAGAAAGAGAATTAAAATTCATGTCATTTTATACAACATATCATCCTACATTCCTCATAATCTATTTGCCATTCTTTTGATAAACACTTCTCATAACCATCCCATTGGAAGAATGACAAACACAAGTATGGAAATAAATGACTGACTTCTTAGTGAATATACAAGATCTTAAAATTCAAATGTCATCCTTCAAAGATATCACCTCATTTACTCTAACAACACTGCCATTACATTTTAAACTCTTTTTGATATAGCTCATTCACAAAGAAAGTCATTTTTCGTTACTTTATTTTCATATCAAAATATTGACCAAAATAATTAAGAATGGTCACTATTTTTATTTAGTAAATCACTTTTTGATAGTGATGGTA